GCAGTGACATTTCATAATGATGGGCGTGAATCAGTTAAAATCTCCAACTTTGATATTGTATATTATTCATAGATCAGCATCTATATGTGTATGACTATTGCTAATTGTTTGCTTGCACATTGTCTCCCCATGGTCCCATATTGCTGGCTAAAACGCTGGCTGGTTTGCACTCAAGGTCGTGACAATTAAGGCGAGGTTAAAACTAAAATGTTGATTTGCATATGTATTGCGTAAAATTTAAGATAAAACTAAAATATATATCTGCAAAAGGACAGTATAAAGACAGAAGGAAAAATTATCTTAACCGATGCGTTTCGTATTCTGACGGACTTTACTAACTTTAATAAGGCAAATGTAAGGATTTTATTTTGCAACAAGTATCTGTAAACAAAAGTAAAAATGTCGTTGGTCTTTCAATTTTTTTAAATTTGAGAGACGCTCATAAATATTAATGAGGTTAACTGAAAAGTCCAAGTAAATTTTTGAGGATGCTAAGTGACATAATTTAAAGTCTACTAAACGAAAGTTAGTAAATAATGTTGTTGTAGAAATTAATATTTAGATTATTTTAGTTTGGGATAAATTTGTGTTATATATTTTAAATATCAGGAGGTTATAAATTTAACCGTTTTCTTTTTATTTTTTAAATTTTATATAGTCATGTGTGTTGGCTTGGGAAAAGAGTAATTCTTTCAGGAATGGAGATGTTAGAAAAATCCTGGGCATAGATTTATATTTTATACATAGATTTGGTGTGTCTGTTTCAAATACGAAGCTTCTCACTATATGAGAAAAGAAGGTTTAGAAAATTTGACACTCACAGGACACTTTAGGCAAGAGTGACATTCAAATAGCGTACAACCTGCCTAACGAGCTTGTGTAAATGATTGACAGAACAGGGATTTGGAGAGACAGCAAAAAGACAACATTAAGTCAGAGTTACAAACGACAGGAAATTGCGGAGAGCCATGATCACCAACGTCCTGAATGGACACGGCACATAAAAGAAGAATATCGAAAACTCATATTTGGTGCCCGGCATATGGTGGCAAAAGCGGGTAATGATCAACTTAACGTATAAAAAGAATTCAGTACGTTTTACGAGATCTTTCCGTGAAGAATTTTCTTACATTTTGTAGATTTTAATTGTTAATAATTGCTACCTTACATTAAAAAGGCGAAAACATTGGAATTTCTAACTGAACCCTTTATTTCGTCCACCAGGATAAGTTGTTCTAGTTCCACGTGCCATGCCTCTTAAGATGTCTCAGTTATCTCCCTTTAACTCAACTCTCCAAGATTTTGTTCACCACTGCAGTAGCCAGGTATTGAACTCACAAATTAAGGACACATGGCCCAGTGGATAAAAGCGTTGGTTGGATCCAGTGACTTGACCCAAAGAGTTGTGAGTTCAATACCTGGCTACTACAGTGGTGAACAAAAACTTGGAGAGTTGAGTTAAAGGGAGATAACTGTGACGTCAGGAAGAGGCATGGCACGTGGAGCTAGAACAATCTACCCTGGCGGACGAAATAAAGGGTTCAGTTCGAAATTCCAGTCACCTGAAGAAGACCGGAGCGTATAACAGCCAAAATGTCGTAAATATGGCAATAAAGATGAGGACAGCAGTTCAAACAATGTAAATAAATACAATACATCATTTCAAAAATATAGACAGATATTAAAAACTCTGAGAAAATGCAAAAAGTTTTCGTGTGACACATTTCATCGTTTAGTTTACATTGATGCGACTACACATGCGCACAAAGAAAAAGGGACGCTGAGCATTTTAAGTTAAGTTTTAAAAAATGTTAACTTATTTAAAATATGTTTTGGGTATATATAGTCTAGCTGATTCCGTTTATCATTTCGTTTATTTTTCTTTGCAACATGTTGGATTGTAATTTTTCTCGTCAACTGGTACTGTTATTACAGCGTCATCGTCAACTTCCCTTAGTAAGCGTTTATAGCGCCAATGTGTGCGTACTTAACAGTGAAAAGTTAGATGCCTACGCCGATGTGTGCGTACTAACAGTGAAAGTTAGATGCCTACAATGGAGAGGCAAATAAGTTCGTATTGTAAAGTTTGTACCGATATCCCCGTTAATGAAAGGAGCAGATAAGGAAATGTCGTTTGGCGAGGAATGTGGCTGGGCGTTTTTTTATTTGTTTAAGTTTAAAATATTGCAGTTGTCGAGCGAGGATGCGAACAACGAAGCCGGAGGTGACATGTACCCTTGGTTACTATTTCCAATAACCGGAAATGTCTACTCTACTTCAATTGTAGTTATTTTCTTTTCCCCCCTTTTTGGCTGTAAAAAAAGGTACAAAAATAAAATAAAAACAGGAAAAATGAAATTTTTTTTTGCATTCTTTGTCTCTTTTTGTTGCTTTGCTTTGTTGAGTTTTGTTGATATATTTTTAATTAAAATTTTATTACCTACTTTTTTTTATTCTCTTTGTCTTATATTCCTGCTCTCGATCTGTCATATTCTTTCTTTCTTTCTTTTCTAATTTTCATCTCTTTTTTTCTGGTTCCTTTTTCAATTTCTCTTTCTTACCCATTTTCGTTTGTTTTTTTCCCTTCTTTTTCTGGTTCTTTCTTCAATTTTTCTTTCCCTTTCTTTTCTTTCTGAAGTTTTACTCTTTCTTTCTTTCTTTTCTAATTTTCACCTTTTCTTTCTTTCCTGGTTCCTTTTTCGATTTTTCTTTCTTAATTCGTCTTTTCTTACCCATTTTTGTCTGTTTCTTTTTCCAATTTTTCTTTCGTTTCTTCTTTTTTCTTTTCTTTCGTTGTAAAGTTTTCTTGTTTTTTTCTTTTTTCCTTTTTCTTTTTTCTCTGTGTAGTTTTCTTTCTTTCAATATTTCTGCTGTCTAGTTTTGTTCTCGCTACTTCTTTTTTTCTTTTCTAATCTTCACTTTCTTTTTGCTATTTCCTTTTTCGATTTTTCTTTACCTTTTTATATTCTTATCCTTTTTGACTGTTTGTTTCTTTCTGTTTCTGCTTCCTTTTTCAATTTTTCGCTCTTTTCTCTCTTTCTTTCTTTCTTTCCTTCTTTCTTTCTTTCTTTCTTTCTTTCTTTCTTTCTTTCTTTCTTTCTTTGTTTCGTTGTTAAATTTTCTTGTTTTTTTCTTTGCATAGTTTTCTTTCTTTCAATATGTCTAATTTTGTTCTCTTACTTTTTCTCACTTCTTTTTCTATTTTATTTCCTTCTCTTTTCCTTTCTCTGACAATTTTTTCTTTCGGATTTTCCTTCGTTCTAGTCTTATGATAACATACGCAGATTTGATAAAATCTACAAAAGCGTCAAATAAAAAAAAGTGCTTTGGTTGAAACCGAACTTTGATGATTATATTAATTATAAAGCAATCATACAAGCATTCAACAGGAGTATTTTTCATTTCCTTTCATTTTTTTTTTCTTTTTGATAAATGCGTCGCCATGATATTTCAGCCGATTACAGTCACCGGATGCAAATTAAGGCGCAGACACACGATTTTTCAGACATCGAGAGGAAATTATATACATACGCGCTCAAATATATATATACACTGACACTCGTTAGCAAATATATCCTAGAACTGGCAATTCATATGAAGCAACTCTCAAAATTAGCTTTTCCCCTGTAGATCATTCAGTAAAAGCATTAGCCAATTTAAACTCACCTTACTGTCTTGATTGCTTTCTGGTCGACAAGTCAACGGACAGTTCTCATCTCATATTTCGTTTTCTCATACGGAAAAATGAGAAAGAAAGAATAAATTAAGTAAAATATTCACTTTCTCGTTGACTACCCTTTCCCATTGACTACCCTTTTCCGTTGACTACCCTTTCCCGTTGACTACCCTTTCTAGTTCTCTATTATTAATTTCCGTTTTTCTTTCTTTTTTTTTTTTATCGTCGACATCTCTCTTTGGTCAACTTACTGTCTTATTCTTTTCATGGAAGTAAAAGTTTTGGCTTCATAAATTATATTGCATAATATTAGCTACAATTCGCTCCCCACTTTAAAAAAAATACCATGTCCTTTCAGGATCAAAGCGACTATGGCTCGCCACAGATTCCATTTCTTTATTATCTATGAATTGTCATGCATTCTTTGGAAAGATAGTGGAGTGGTTTCCCGTTGCCTTTTTCACAGTCTGGAATCCAGAGTTATCCTGCACTTACGAACTACATTCCTTAGTTTCACCAATTCTAACCTTCATTGCTAAGACCCGCAATACCGCACACAACGTAGCGAACAAACCTAATCTCTTTCGTATTCCATCGGGGAGATGTGAGTTCCACTCAAGCAGCTTCATCTCAAAAACCCTTTTGTGGGACCGACTCCCAAGGGAATGCTTCCCCGATTACTACAATTTAGCATATACAAGTCTTGCGTCAACCGTTATCTTCCCTACATATTCCCATAGACTGTGCCCCTTATTCTGTAACCCTCTATCCTCGAGTGGCTCTTGGGTCTTGTACAAGATGAAAATCATTGCAAAAATATCCAAAACTAAAGAGCTCAGCCTTTCCTGCTATTTAACTCATATTTGTGGAGAGAAGAAACAGATTCATGCCTTTCTCAAACGTATTAGTGCGAAAGTGAACACAACAGATAAGACCGGAATTTGAACTCGGCTCGCCAATTCCACTTTATGCATCGATATCCGTAACACTATATGCGCATCCAAATTCGTTTTGCATGTTGCAAAAAAAAAAGAAGAAAAAAAAAGCATTATATGATGAATATTTCTCGAAAAGAGAAAATCACAATCGCTTGTTTGTTTAACTGTTTGCAGAAGTTATAGAACAAGGAAGTTCATCTCACGCCTTTCCATTCGGACTAGTATCCTCATCTTGGTTGTTATACACACAACGTTTCAGCCGTTGTACCCTTCGGCCTTCTTCAGTTGCATGTCGAATTCGGAAACCTTCTCGGAATCTTGAACCTAACGCTTTATTCCATTCACGGGAGTAAATTCTTCCTTCTTATTGTTCGCTTCCCATGCGTTTACGGTCATATCACGCTGAAAAAAAACCCGTCCTTGTTCGATCACCGAAGTTAAGCAATGTTGAGCCTGGTCAGTACTTTGATGGAGGCCGCTTGGAAACATTGAGTACTGTAAGCAACCTCCCACTATTCGAAATGTATTTCGGCTTTAAATGACTCCAAAAGTGCCGATAAGCCGTAAACACACATAAATCAGTCAATAAATTAATCGCTTCCCACGCTTTGGAGATATCTGGTATCATTTAACATTCCCTCATCTGTTTCGCCTTTGTGTCGCTTGTCTCTTTCCTCTACTGAACTAGAAGACTATAATTTTTCTGTAATATTCCACCTAGGGATTGAATTCATAACTGGGAAATCACATTGAGTATGATATCTGTTAATAAATTTAATTGGACTATTTAATACACTGATGAGCTGTTTTCATCTGCGAAACTTGAAATCGGGAAGATAAATTTTTGAAATTTTATTTCATTTGTTTACTGTTCATCGTATGTTTCATAATATTGAGCTCTTTAATTTCAAAGACGGCTTGCCTTAAATGCGTTAACTCCCAGAAATACATTGATCGACGTTACTATTATTTTTTCGTTTTAGCGAAACTAATATTTATTATATACAGGGTGTTCAGTATTTATCAGTACACCCAGATGCAATTTAATTTAATTTTAAAAAAATCATCATTTTGGGGGGAAGTTATACGATTTGTTTAATAGAACTAAACTATAAGTTATCATTTCAGGCATTGGATTTAGAAATGGCTTCAAATTTAACTAAAAACTGTATGAATTTAAGTGCAGTACTAGACTGGCGTCGAGATTTCATCAATTTACAGTTGAGCTGGCTAAATGTAACCAGGGAGAAGCTGAGAAGAAATCCGAAGAGATCTCTTAGAAATCTTGCGAAAGAGGTGAATGTGTACATCGGAAACATGTCAAACATTCTCCATAATGACTTTAAGACGTCTTCTTACAAACACCAAAAGAAATTGTTATCTGATTTAATGTTCAACAGCATTTTAACAGCCAGAACGATTGGATTTGGCCTCGAACTGGTGACAGAGAGCCTCGGGCAGTTACTTGAAGGTTTCTGTGAGAAAGTCCTCTGTTTTTTTGTGGAAGCAGGAGTTAAACTAAACAGAGAAGAATATTCTTGAATCATCGCCGTTTCTTGGCCTAAAAGGACATTTTAAAAACCGAAATTCGTTATTCCAACAAAATCCAACGGCTTCTCATAAGGCCAAAATAACTCAAGAGTGACTGGCAACCCATGTTCCCCACTTCATATTGAAGGAAGAAAGTTCTCCATCAACCCCAGACCAGAGCCCTCTTGACTACAACATCTGGGGTCTCTTAGAAAACTAGGTTTCTGCTACACCCCACCATGGTTTGGAGTCTCTGAAGTCAAAACTCTTGAAGGAATGAGACAGAATTCTACAAAGGGTTATCCGTGTCTCATGCGAGCCATTTATCAAGCGTCTTCAGCAAGTTATTGACGAAGAAAGGGCCTTTTGAATAGAGAATTTATCAAATACATTTATGGACATTTAATTTTTGTTACTGCTTTGTAAAATATTTACAGATCGTTTTTGCTTAATAAAGATGGACAAAAATATTTGTGACGCTAATTATTGAACACCCAAGCAAGGAGGTAATGCCACTAAGACTCAAGGTGTTACTGGGAGTGGAAGAGAATGAGAAAACTTTAGTGAAAAGAAAGGACAAAAAATAGAATGGGTTTCAGGAAGGCAGAAGATGACGATTGACTTTGCATTTAAATTTTTGAAGATTGTAGATGCCAGGAAAGCAAGTAAACGGAAGAGAGTTACACAGACGGGAAGTGCGAGAAAAGAAGCTGTTGGAGTAGAAGTGGCGGTTACATTTAACTATTTCAAGAATAAAAACGTGGGACCTAGTGCGAAACTATTAGAATAGAACTTACGGTTAGATCTAACTATTTCAACAGTAAAATGATGAGACCTAGTTATTAATCAAGTATCAGGTCATCCCATAAGTTCTGTCCGAATTTTGAATAAAGAAAACAAGTGAGCAGATGTTACATTTAATTACAGATTCAATCAACAATGTATTTTCCCTGATTATCTATGACTTCCTTCCATCTATTAACAAGCTTACTAATTCCATTACTGTAAAATTGTTTTGGCTTTGATTCGAAGAACTCACAAATGTCAGTTTTAACCTCTTCCTGTGTTACAAAAGCTGTTTCTTCCAAATGATTCTGTAAGCTACGAAACAAATGGTAGTCTTAAGGAGCAAGATCGGGAGAATAAAGTGGATGAGGAATTTTCCCCCAACCAAGTTCTTCGATCTTTTGTGTCGTGATTCTTGCTGTGTCGGGTCGCGCATTGTCCTGATGAAACATCACCCCTTTTCGCTTCACTAGAGCAGGTCTTTTTTTCCTTAAAGCTTGGTTCAAATGCTCTAATTGCTGACAGTATATTTGAGCATTAATTATTGCATTAGGTGGTAAGAATTCAAAGTGGATTATTCCTTGGCGATCTCACCAGATTGAAAGAAGAACCTTTTGCCCATGAAGTTTCCTTCTCGGCTGTGGCTGGGGTCCTTCCCCTTTACCAAGCTATGGTGCTTAACATTTCGATAAAAGATCCATTTTTCGTCGCCAGTCACAAGTCTATCCAAAAAAGGTGAAACAAGTTGGCGATAATGGAGAGAAGAGCAGATGTCAACTCGGGATTTGAGGTTGTTTTCAGACAATTCATGAGGCACCCATTTTCCAAGTTTAGGAACTTTTCCAAGTTGTTGAAGATGACGATGAACAGTTGTATGGTTTGAACTGAAAACCACTGTCAATTCCTCAACTGATAAAGCAGACTTTTCTTCAAGGGTTGCTTCAAGAAGCTTTTCATCAAACTCAACTGGACGTCCGGTTCGATCTTCATCTTCAAGGGTGAAATCTCCACCTCTGAATTTTGCAAACCATCTTCTGCAAGTTCTTTCATTCACACATTCCTCTCCATAAACTGAGTGAATGTTTCTAGCCGCTTTGGCTGCTGAGTTTCCTTTCTTGAACTCATAAAGCATTATGTGCCTCAAATGATTCTTGTGTACTTCCATGTTAACAGGGTTTTAATCAAACAAAATTTAATTTTATTGTTCTCTGAAATAAAATTTGATCAGTTTAAATGCATCTAAACATAAAAAAATGTTCAGCTCCATTAGACATTATAAAATACTCTTTAAATTTCGTTCATTTTAACAAAAAGTTAAAATTCGGACAGAACTTATGGGATGACCTGATAGTATGCTTAAACTGATGCAGTTGATATTCCAAGGAAGAGAGCTCATTAGAGCGACTACCTTAAAAATATTTATAGAAAAGACAGAGAGAAGCTATGTCACAGCAGCGGGAAAGTGACTGAAGTCGAGATGCCATGTCAGGGTCGATTACAATGCAGACCCATGTTTGAATTTTGTCGAGAATCTCGAGTTATATAGTAGAAGCATTAGACCAGATATGGCAGCAATATTCAGTGCACGGACGAATGGCAAATTTATAAATGAGCAAAATGAACTCTGTCGAGAAAATTTATCTAGCACGACACAGTGAACCAACTTTCCTAGCAGCAGACCTAGCAATTGATTCACTTCAAAACAGTAGAAAACGTGAGCTCAAGAAGGCGTAGTCAGTTGTTCTTTTGGCGGTTAGCATCAGCCATGTTGATGGAAAGCAAACTGTTTCTCCATTATGATTAAAACCGTTTATTTTTGAAGACGTTAAAATTTACAAGCCATTTCTTACGCTATTTAACTGATTAGAGGTCATTTTCTAGAGTAGACGCTCACTGTGAGAAGCTATATGGCGTCTGAATCTATCAGCCAACAGCGACTTAGCCCCGTTGATGACACGCTTAAACTCATCACGAGCAGATACAAAGAGATGTCTGGTATGATCCGAACTGTCACGTTGGTATAGTCGGAAGTTGTGATTCTTGTAGGCAGAAGTGAACCAAGAAGATTGTGGTTTCACTTGGTATTTCCGTGCTGGTAGGAAAGCTTCGATACCACCAGGCTTCGCACAGGAAGAAAACTCCACACACACACACACACACACACACACACACACACACACACACACACACACACACACACACATATATATATATGTTGATGCATGTTTCATTAAATAATATAGACAAGTTTTGTCCATTTATTTTATTTAAATTCTTTTCATATCGTCTGATAAGCTTAATAACATTATCATTAAAAGAAGAAAGAAAATCACAATATTGATGCATATTTTTAATCCTATGCAAGCTTTCGGCTTACATAAGCCATTTTCAAAGATGTCAAATATATTACAATATATTAAACAATACACGGACAAAACAATAATGATAGTCTGTTTTTGTTTACATGTAAGATTTCCAAGCAACGACAAACTCGTGCATACGAGACGCTGGAAGCAAAAATCTCACCGCAGCTCATGACGTCACACATGACCACGCGAGAGTGAAAACGAGAAGTGTTAAGTATGGAAAGCCGTTGGTATAAACCAATGGCTTCTGTTATAAATTATAGGCATTTAAGAATATATGTGGAGATTTCATAGTTTATTTTGTTCAGGTTAGGTTTCAACTGTTTTATATATATAGCTTCAAGAAGTTTTAGTTTATATATATATATATATATATATATATATATATATATATATATATATATATATATATATCATCTTTTATTGTTTCTCAACTGACAGGACTACAACCAGAAGTTACAATTCGTCCTTGTCAACACAGCGAAATTCACCAAATTAAGCAAAAAAAAACCCCACAGAAACACTAAAATAGCATGGAAATAAACTAATCACAGTGAACAACGCTGACGTTGATAGTTTAAGAATCAAGAAAATAATTCGTGACTACCAACCATGATAATGTAAAAACGCATAAATCAGGTTTTCCTCTCAAACCTATCATATCCCAAATACTTACATACGTATACAATCTATCAAAAATCCTCAACCACATAATTTCCCCATACACCCCCAACAATTATAGCATAACATCAACTAATGACTTCTTCCACATCTTGAAAGCAGCAAGTCCCATAGGAGATATTATGGCCTGGATAGATG